TACTTGGTCACGGACACGTTGTTCTCGGCCTGCTGATCCTCCACCTTGCTTCCCATTTAGTGTATCCAATAAAACAGGAAACTCAGACACGGGGAACCAAACAAGACACAGATCTAAACAGACAGCTTCACAAACAGATGGGGTGACACCATAGACAGACAGAGACACAGACCGAATATAACATATAGAACTCAAACAATAATAATAATCATTATCATAATAACCTAGAAAATGATAACTAAAAGCGCTGGGTCACCGACCCAGGACCATGACATAGACCTCACAACAGCAGACACTTGCTTGTCAAATTTAAACGAGCTATCCAGTAATATGCCCAAACTACTGGCATAATCAGAAGGGGAGCTAGCAAAAAGGCATCAGAGCAGCACACAATTGGTCGCGGGGGATGTTACTATCGAACACCACGATCTCTGTTTTCTTTTCGTTCAGGACAAGAGAATTACTCTTGAACCAATCTTTAACCTCACGCATGCATTCACAAAAATAGTGAAAAGACATAGCAAGATCGTCAGTAATCTCAAAATAAATCTGTATATCATCAGCATAGCAATGAAAGGCAATTTTATACTTCTCAAAAATTGCTCCAAGAGGGAGCAGATATAGTGAGAAGAGAATAGGTCCTAATACAGATCCTTGAGGCATACCACAGCGTACAGGTACCGAGGAAGATGAGAAGTTGCCCAAATTAACCAAGAAAGACCTGTCAGCAAGATAAGATTTAAACCAGTTGAGGGCAGTGCCTCTTATACCCACAGTATGCTCAAGTCTTAGTAGAAGAATGTTATGATCGACCATATCAAAAGCAGAGGAAAGGTCCAATAAAACCAGGACCACAGAGCGTCCAGAGTCAGTGCTTACAAGAAGGTCATTAAGAACTCTAAGCAAAGCCGTTTCAGTGCTGAGCAGAAAGAACAGTCGTCAGGTACAGCCAAATCAGGGGTAGATGAAAATAATGATAACAAAATATCAGCATAACCATCAGATCAGCGAACTGAGCAGCAGTCAGGAATCATAAACGCCAAATCTAAAAAAAACACAGAAAACTTTGACACAGCTTCAGAGCTGAGTACGCGTAGTGGACGAGAAAGAGCTTCAGACTGCGGTTCAGCAGCAGATAAGCCAATATCAAAGGAAATAGGAAAATGATCTGAAATCCCAGCGTCATTTATATCCTTAATACAGATATCCAGGCCATACGTAAAGACCAAGTCCAAAATATGGCCTTTAACGTGGGTTGGTTCATTTACCCATTAAAGGAGGTTAAAAGAGTCCATTAAAGCAAGAAAGTCTTTAGCAAGCAGGTCATCCTTACAACAGATGTGTATGTTAAAATCACCAAGAATAAGAACAGAATCATATTTAAAAAGAACGGAACCCAAGAAGTCGGCAAAGTCCGAAATAAAACACTTGTTATATTTGGGCGGTCGATAGACCAACACACATAAAGTGGTCGTGGAAGCAGTCATCTCCAATAACTGGACTTCAAAACTAGCAAAGTTAGGTGAGGAAAGTTGCCGAACATTATATACGTTTTTAAAAACTGAGGCTAAACCACCTCCCCTACCAGAAAGCCTCGGTGAACTAAAAAAGGCACAGTCCAAAGGAAGAAGTTCAGAGAAAGGAATGAGCTCACCAGGGCGAATCCAGGTTTCTGTAAGGAATAAAACATCAAGGCCGCTAGTAGAGAAGAAGTCATTTAAAACAAAGGTCTTATTTACCAGCGACCTGACATTAAGCAGTGCCATCCGTGGCCAGTACAATGTGCTAGGATTTAAAGGTCCACATCTCACTATGTTGATGTGGGACTGTGAAAGCAGTATGCCAACATAGGAGAGTTGTCTCGCGTGTGTTAAGAAAGGCAAATGTGCTTGTAGCAGTATAGAAGTTACTGCATGTGGTACTCTAACAGTCAGAGTGTGTCCAAAAACTATGTCAGCAGATTTTTGCACTGCCTCTGCAGCTGCTGCACATGCTTGTACACAGGTGGGCATTCCTGAGGCCACTGAATCGAGTTTGCTTGAATAGAAAGCTAGTGGCCTGTGTTTTTCTCCAAATGATTGTGTCAATACTGCTTTCATGTGTTCCGTCTACATTTAAGTAGAATGGTTTGTCATAATCTGGCAATGCAAGCACAACGTTAGTTTGGAGCATGAGTTTTAGTTTAGTAAATGCTCCTTTGGCTTCTGGTGTCCACTGTATTTTATCTTTTAAAGCAAGATCTTTTCCATAGATTAGGTTTTGCAGTGGTTGTACCTGTGCCGCATATTCTGGAATCCACGCCCTGCAGAAGTTACATAACCCGAGAAAACTCATCATCTGTTGCTTAGTTTGTGGCTGTGGTGCATTTTGTATGGCCTCTTTTTTTTGTTTAGTAGTTTTTTCCCTGCACCTGAGAGGGTGTGGCCTAAGTATGTTACTTCAGGTCTCCATAATTGGAGTTTATTCAGAGACACTTTGTGGCCTTTTTCTGCTAAGTGATGTAACACCGCCATAGTATTTTGTTTACACTCTTCCTCTGTGTGGCCAGTCACTAAAATGTCATCTACGTAAAGTAGAAACTGCCCTCCTGCTGGCAGGAGGCAGGACATCATTGATTTCTTTAAAGCTTCAGCATAGAGAGTGGGGCTGTTTTGAAACCCCTGAGGTAACCTAGTATAGGTGTATCGCTGTCCCTCAAATGTGAAGCCAAACAGATGGTGTGAGTCAGGATGTAAAGGCACTGACAAAAAGGCGTTTGATAAATCTATCACTGAGAACCATTGTTCTTTTGGTGTGACTTGATTCAGTATAGTGTGAAAATTTGCTACTACTGGTGGTATCATTTTAGTAATTTAATTTATTGCTCGCAGCTCATGTACCAAACGATGCTTTCCAGTATTAGCTTTCTTTACTGAGAAGATTGGAGTATTGCAGGTAGCAGAATTAGTTTTTATTAGAATTCCTGCTTTTTCCATATCCTTCATCACTGGCTTAATCCCTTCTGTTACTTCCTTAGATAAGGGGTATTGTGGTTTAATGGGCCTGTGGGATGAAACAGTCTGTACTGTTACAGAGTCTGCGTTTTTTATTAATCCCACAGTTGGTCCATCCGACCACAATGTTGATGGTAGGTTTTTAAGTGCTGTTTCCTCTTCCAGCGAGAAAATTTCTCATTCTTATGTGCTGTGGTGCAGATGATCGTTGGGTGTAGTTCTTATCACCCAGCCAAGTGTGTATCTCATGCACCCTGTTCTTTTACCCTGTGCCCAACCCTCTTCTTCTGTAGGTGTATATTTAGCATTTTCTACCTTTTGCAGGATGTTACCTAATTGATACCATTGTGTACCTGCTGTTTTTGCAACTGACACATGGGGTTTTGTGATCCTGTTTAGTAATTTCAGAGTGGTTTACTGATACGGCCTTCGACTTAACCCTACAGGTGAAGCGGTATCAGTTTTATGAGATGAAACTCCTTTGTCACCAGTACGTGAGCCTCAGCAAAGAAAAAAAAGAAAATAAAAAATGAAAATAGTTCAGCAGCGTATTGTGCTGTAAAATCAACTTACTTCCAGACACATACACACATAGACATTTGCGCGCTAATTTGTCACAAAGTATTTTACAGCTACCTCTAAAACCAGTCTAAACACAGTTCTTTTTGCCAAACTTAAACCTATTTTATCACGTTTCTTTAAACCTTTGCGGCCGTTTTATATATCAAAATAGTGTTTCTCACCCTCAGACGTCAGACTGAATCCCACTGTGGACCAGACTAAGGACACCGGCCCGAATCCGAATTTAACGGTCCAGGTCTTTCGGCCTCGTCTAAGAGCGCTGTGCACAGACTTCGGTGCTGGCTTCCCACGGCATCAGAAATCAGTGCTGGATCCTAGAACAGAGTCACAGATAACAGTTCTGATGTTTCTGCCCCGGCTACGAAGGACCAAAATAAATGTCGAGATTTATTCTAAAAGACACTTCTTCAGCTGAGAGTCAGAGAGTGGAGACACACACGCTGAATTTTTACTTGCAATGGTGATCACAGAACGCTCACACCAGAGTGGGAGCCCTGTGATGTGCGCTCTGTTCTTGCACTTGTCTTTATTTATACACGAGAAAAGTAATACAATAATGAATACATCTGTTCATAGACAGAGGAATGTTAGTGCGTATGTATGTGCATGTGTGTGTTGTGGGATACAAGAAGGGAGTGAAGATAAGAGTGGTTCAGGTTTATGTGTGTGTGTTGTGGGATTCAGAAGGACGCGGCCCCGCTTCTTGTTAGGGAGTGCAGATAAAAGTGTCCAGCTCTCCTCTTTCTGGCAGGAGTGAAACAGTAATAGCTTGTTCAGCTATTATCGCTGTGAAAAAGATTTATAAAACAGAAACAAGTCTTGTAGTGGACAACAGTCTAAGTCAGCGGTCCCCAACCCCTGGGCCTCGGACCGGTACCGGTCCGTGAGTCGTTTGGTACCGGGCCGCGAGAGTTGAGGCTCAGGTGTGAAATGTATGGTTTTCAGGGTTTTTATCGGTTTTCAGCGTTATTTTGTTATCGTTTTTATCGTTAACTCCGTTTTCCTGGGTCTTTTCACGTGTGTTATGAATAAATCTTCTTTTTTTCGGTACCGGTACTAGTTTTATTTTGTTGTATTTATCCGCGACACCTTAAAGGCCGGTCCGTGAAAATATTGTCGGGCATAAATCGGTCCGTGGTGCAAAAAAGGTTGGAGTCCGCTGGTCTAAGTCATCAAAAGGTCATATGCAAACTTATATCATTAAAAGCTTATACTGACTACTAAGTACAATTTTCCATTGACAAATAACTTTTAATAAACAATATTCAGGAAAAAAAAAAGATTTATTCACATAGTAGTTAATGCAGACAGATGCTGATTTCTGAATACATTTGAGTCCATGTCCGGTTTTAGAACAATCAGCTTGTAACGGAAATAACGGGGCCAAACTATAATTTCATTTTCACTCTGTGTTCAGTAGAGTCATTGTAGGTGTGGTTTGGCTCATGCTGCCTGTTGAAGAAGCTGCAGCACAGTCTTTGCCTTTCACTGCTTACTCCACTTCTGTTGGCTACACAACACTGTTTAGACTGAACATCGACAGAAGCAATTACAACCCAAGCATGGCTGGCAAGTTCGGTAAGTCATCATGTTAGTCATGTTTTCTAGTGTTACAGCAGTGATCATGGCTGATTTAAAATCATGGTTGGTTGGCAGGTAGGTCGATAGATTATAAAAACAAAAACAAGATCATTGAGGTCAGTATTAGACACAGACCTGTGATGGTTTAAATAAATGTTTTAAGTCTGAAAGAGAGTAGGTAGAAGCTTAATGTTTATCAAGACCTACCCCATTATACAAAAATGAAAAAAAATAAAAACTACAAAACTACTTTTGCACTGCCTACATTTTCATTAGCTAATAATAATAACAAGCTATAATAATGGGCAATAGGAAGACAAAGACTCACTGTTCTCCTTTGGTCATTATTATTGTCCATAGTGCTCCTTTCTAACCATGTCAACCTGCTCCTTATTTAACCAAGTCTCTGAGACAGCAGTTTGTGAATTTTGCTCTGAGATGTGGAAGAGAGGTCATAACTTTTGAATGTCCATTAAGATTTCTGCTATTAAATATGTTATCCACTGTAACATTATAGTTACACGGTTCATAAGTGTGATATTTACAAGCCATTTGTGATTATATCGACCAGAAAAGAAGAAAGAAATCCAGAATAATTGCATTTCCTGATAGCAAAGTGTCAGGATCATTACTGAGGATGACTCTGATTTCACAAGATCAACAGCAGAATAGAGACTTGTGACCCATCTCTGTAGATGTTGAATTAACTTTTGACCATCTACCAGAACATTTGTAACCTAAAATACCAACCCCAAACCCGGTGCATGATCAGGTATATGTATAATAAGTACAATGTATTTCATGCCATGTATTCTTTCTGATCTTTCTACACAGATTTCTACACAAATGATGAGATGAGGATTGTGATGGTGGGGAAGACTGGAATTGGGAAGAGTGCTACTGGAAACACTATTCTGGGCCGTGAGTGCTTTAAATCCAAGTTCAGTCCCAAATCTATGACTGTAGAATCTTCCAAAGGAAAAGCTAAAGTGGATGGACATCGCGTTGCTGTCATTGACACCCCAGGCCTGTTTGATACCAGGGTTGATGAAGAGGAAACTCAGAAAAATCTCCCTCGGGGCGCAAATCGTGTCTTTTTCTTGGGCCACCGCTTTCCAGTTACCACTCAGCCACCCACCATCACCGCTAGGCACGCTTACAACCCACTGGAGATTCCGGATTGGGACACCGCCGATGGGTTAATAGCTGAATTCGACCTGAGTGCTTATTTTTCACGACATATCCGCTTTTCATCCAGAGCCCTTTTTGGCATTACCGATTTTTCTAGGCAGGGAATGGAGACTGTGTAATCAGTTAACTGGAAAGGCCTGTTCACTCCAGACAACAGTCAACCAGCTTAAGGCAACACTATAATGTGTGCCCAAGTCTGGGCTATACTCATTCTCCTCTCGCGCTGGGATCGCTTCCTCTCCCCCAAGATGAGCGCCCATGATGACCCTTCTGGTTACTTACCCTCAGCTTCTCTGGACCCCTGGTGGCCATTGATGGCCAGCGTGAACTGGCACCGTGGCCCGACTCAGCTTCCCAGGAAAACTATGGCGAGCGATGTCCCGTCAAGTGCCCTGCGCAGCTCACAGTTCCTACCGCTTTATGTGAATGACGCAGAGGAAAAACAAAACAGACCCGGCCACTGCAAATAGAAGATTCCTAACTGACAGTTTAATCCTTTGGCCCACTCGTTCTTCAAAAGTCAGGCCCTCAAATACAGAGGCCCCACATGATGGTTCCTCTCCACTGGTTTTATCGCTCTCATGAATGTGATGACCAACCTTATGTGTCACTGCCAGAGCCACATGCTACTGGTTTTGTTTCAAATGTGCCAGAGGCCCACATGCCTACTGGTTTTGTTTCAAATGTGCCAGAGGCCCACATGCCTACTGGTTTTGTTTCAAATGTGCCAGAGGCCCACGTGCCTCCTGGTTTTGTTTCGTGTGTGCCAGAGGCCCACGTGCCTCCTGGTTTTGTTTCGTGTGTGCCAGAGGCCCACATGCCTCCTAGTTTTGTTTTGCGTGTGCCGGGGGCCCCGGTGCCCGCTGGTTCTGCGGCTGTTTTTGCTGGGGGGCCCGAGGAGCCCGTCCAGCCTCCTGTTTCGCCTGCTGGGGGGCCCGAGGAGCCCGTCCAGCCTCCTGCTTCGCCTGCTGGGGGGCCCGAGGAGCCCGTCCAGCCTCCTGCTTCGCCTGCTGGGGGGCCCGAGGAGCCCGTCCAGCCTCCTGCTTCGCCTGCTGGGGGGACACCAGAAGGAAGAGCACCGGCGACACGAAAGAAAAGCGCAGTAAACATGTGGCACACGAGAGCCAGGAACTATCGCCACGGGGAATACAGTAGTGAGAACAGTGAGGGATGGCGCCAGAAACCGAGTAGAGACCCTCCAACCAAAGAATCAGGCTCAGAGAGAGAGGCGAGACCTGGTGGAGCGCATGACCTATGGTCTGTCCAGACCGAGCGAGGCGTATGCTCCAGCCATGTGGGACTTGAGTAGGCTGACTTCCACCATGGAGGAATCGTGGCAATGAGCAGAACGCGCCTTTAAACCGAGTTAACTCGAGATTAAGAGGAAGTCTGATCACGATATGCAAAAGAACAGACCGCAAGACTTTACCAACCTGTCCTCACTGCACCAATTCAGACTTGAAATAGCAATACAACATACTGACAGCCAGAGATATTCTAGATCTTATCGCCTTGGCCCGGTGTGTCATCACAATCGCGCCTAAATTGCCCTCTGCCTGCGTGGCGATTCCTCTGCGCAGATTTATCTGTAACAATTAAACAATTCCACTTCCTTCCACACTTGGCTGTCCTATCAATGTCATGTCTGTGAGCCTATCGTCCTCATATGAGACATTTTATACGAGTCCTTGTGCCCCTCAGCACATATTCGAGACATATTCTGTACAAACGTGCCGCGCATTGCGTGTTTCCAGGCTGCATCCTCTAAGTCTAGTACAAAGCACGCTTCGCATAAAAGCTGATCTGGGTTCCAGCTTCATCCTCTCAGCCCTCCTGGTCCTAGCCCTTCAGCTGTTTACACCAGCATATGTCTTCGCTCTTACCACCATGCTTTCATAGTCTTTACAGTCTCCTTCTTGCGATCGATATCCTTGAGACCAGCATCCTACGCCAAGCCCATTCTTGAATGCTCAGCTAATCTGTAACCTCTGCTTGCTTCACCAGACAAGCTGCTGTAATTTTGAGTCATTCAGGCATCTTTTATTCTTTAGGTATGTTGAATCCAGCGATCCTCTAGGCTTCTAAACATTGCTATGGTCCAGCTCTCCCTTTCTATTGTAACAGTTTTGATCAGACCATTTTTCTTCTCTCCCATACAAGTCCTACCTGTGTTTCCAAATTACAGCCGCCAGATTCGCCAGCTGGACCATATTGAATTTTCCCTCCTTATATTCTATCCCTTAGTGACAGTTCAATCTGTATTCTGGAGTCATTTGTGCCCGCTTTTTGGGATTCAAGAATTCGTGCCCTGGAGTATTCTCCACCATTCCAACTAGTCAATTCTGATAGTCTTTAGAGATATCCTGCCCTATGTATGTATCTTTGATATACCTTCTCTCAGGCTGTCCGCATTGAATGTTCTGGTTCTCTGTTTGATAAGATTATTTCACATCCTTGCAAGGCATCGTGCAAGTGTCAACATTTCCATCCTATCTCTGGCTAGCACCCGAACTTCTTCACTTTCTTGGTGAATGAATCCATCTTTGCTCCAACTTTTACCTTCCCCTTGACTCAGTTGTTTGCGTTGCCTTCACATGTGTGACTCGCAACCTGACAATAAACTTAGATTTGTGAACTTTGTGCCATGACCTCTAGAACTGTAAGCATTTGTCTGTCATGTGAAGGCTGTGTGCAGGCAGGAGTGGTAATATGGAGGACCCTAAGCGCAGGCGGGCATACGGACAGGGGGTAGATCACAACACGGACACAGAGAAACACAGGGCTTAAATACGCAGAGGGAGCAATCAGGGAATGGAAAACAGGAGGGAAACACAGCTGGGGCAAATCAGGCCTAACGACACAAAGGAAGAAAAACCAGACACATTAACATGAGACTATCAAAGTAAAACAGGAAACACTGACTGAACTTATAGACACAGACTCACAAGCAGGCACTGCAACAGAGACGTGGGAACAGGGCAGACACAGACACTGACTGGACAAAGAATGGAGGGAATAAGGAAACCAAAACCTGAGAACTACATAATCAAACACCAAGAAGAACTGGGGAAAACATACAACCTTCACAAAAATAAACTAAGAAGAGAACACAAATAAAGGGTACAAAACAGAAACCATTGGGTCAACGACCCAGGAACCCTTACAGTCCTTGTTTCTGTAGCCTAGTTGTCTCCTTTAAAATAAATTTGTAGAGTCACTGTCATAATTCAACTGAGTGTTGTTCTCAGTGTCGCTGGTTAACTTTATAATTTTATTAATATAATTCTGGAAAATACAAAATATTAAATTACAGGTTGAATAGTAGTATCCTAGCTTCTCATTGTTATTTACTACTGCATCACATTCTGATCAAACTACTGCCACAAGCAGTAATTTGATCAGAATAGTGAAAAACTCTACCTGTCCCTGCTGAATCAAAGCAGAAGCAGAAAGGTTTCTGGGTTG